TGTACTTCAAGAAGAACAAAAATCATTGCACAGGTTTATCAGATCTGCTTTAGGCGTTCTCTACGTCTGTCATTGTTCGGAAAAAATACTCAACCTCAATAGTTACATTATTCCGGTTGACCAGCTGTTAGGACATTTGAAGATTCCAGCTTATGCGGACCAACAGCTGATAGACTTACCCCATGTTTCCCTTAATCCGAACAGAAATCATAAGCAGGCTCAGTGCTATTAAATGATTAAAGAATTTTGTGATCATTGGCGAGCGCGGGCAAACCTAATGCTTCTTAGTTTGGTGAATTCGTTCCGGGAACACGAGCTACTACGTTAATCTACGAGGTCCAGTCGATTGATAGGGAGAGGTTTAATCGACCAGGAAAGGTCTTGATGGATAGCTATGCAAAAAATGAATGCACCCTTGCTATGTTTTAAAACATCAGGCACTATACATTATGCTTCTCGTCAAACCTCTGGACGATGACAGAAACTCTGCACATGCCCGATGGTGACGGTATATTCTGTCAGGTAGTGCTACCTGAGTTATATTTAGGCCACAATCAAGGATGGATACCTGTCAAGGGAAACAGACGTATCTATGATAACAAATGATTGGAGAACTGCGAGCAATTTATCACGCAGACCTTCAAACATTAGGATAGAATCTCTTGAAACGACCCAGTTTGGTATTGGAATACAGATTCGGACGAACCATCTTAAAGAATACTACTAATCTTAGGTAACATCTTTTGTGCAATGCAAACACAAAAACTTCACGAAAAAACCTGAATTTATATCTTTCCAAAGCAACACAAATTCATCAGTTACCGACCAAGTGGCCAGCTGCATATCCGAAATAGCTCATGTTTGTTAGCTTACAGAGCATATTACTGCTCAGTATTATCCCAAAATACTACACTGAAAATCCGAGGACTGAGGATTGACACTGGTATCCTGATGGTAAGCAAACTGTAAGCATTGTGTCGATATCACACGTGATTACATAAAAAAGTACAGAACGAAACTGAGGTCTTCATTCACCAACCTTACCTCACAGCCTCAAAACGAAGTGTGCGATTTCATTTGAGTGAGCTTTTTTGGTGATCTCCCCAGATTTCCGTCAACCAGTCGTTGCAAATTTCACCCAAAGTCGAGATCACCGAAATGTGGTGAATTCGGATAAAAATTGGATTGATCGTTGTATTGCTGCCAGCCCGCTTTGAATAATCTTCACTAAAAGCTCGGGAAATACGGTAGGTTGGAGATGGTTTGACGAGGAAAATTCGGTCAGTCAGCACTTACAGCAACTTTGTATTTAGATTTAGGTGACCCGTGAAATTTTCAACTTTGACGAATGTTTATACAAATTTTCTACGAACCGTGAAGTGAAGAACTACCGGATGAATGGTTAAATGCGATTGGCCAAATTGTGTTGAACAAAATCACGTATATACGCCGAATTTTCCTTTCCTTGATCTTTCTCGGTTTTTCGTTTCAAGACAACTATGTACTTGGCCAGTTCCATCGAGCCCCAATAACCTGTGAGTCTGTATTTTTGTCAAAGGTGCTTTTGCATTGTAAGTCGAGCCATTTATACGCTTTGTACAACTGTTTCATCCTTACTTAGAATCACCAGTAGTGCACATCTCCCAGACATTCAGGGATTCTTGACCCGGTGACGTCCTAGCTGGTACTTTGAACACTTATCTGTGAACTCAACAGAGATTTGCAGCAAAGTTCAGCTCCATCATTCACTTAAAGCTTGACGGTGGTAAAGGCAATAGAATAATAGAGACACCATGATTAATAAGGTCTCAGATTTGGTCGACTATATGTGCCTACAGAGAAGCTGTCAGTTTCTTCCATGATAACTTGCTTACCTGTTTAGGGAGAAATAAACACAAAAAAATTCCAGTGTTCTTCAACTGAGTGTCTAGTGCAAAGACTGCCTGTTGGTTATATCACACTAATATTCAAAATAAATCAGCATTTCTCCTCTATTTTGCATAACTAGTGGGATTTATTAACGGTAGGCTACAGAATACTTCCAGCTTATTCCTGTTTAAGGCCTATCCTAAAGGACCACTAGTATAATATTTTTTACAACTCGCACATTATATTGAAGCCTTGCAAATTAAGCCACCCAATGGTAATGGTGCCAAAGCAAAACTCAGATCAACAGTTGTTTGTGAAAAACCCAACCAAACATGCAGCACGAGATCCGTCCTCCAATTTGCGCGAGTCAGAAGTCAAGCTGGCCTTCGGCATTGATGATTCCAGTGTCTACTGAACCTAATCTATTCTGAGGGAACACCGAATAATCCTGCTTGTTCAAATCGTTACTTCATTCCTCAACCAACAAAATATATACTGTCCCCATTACTACAGGGCATCTGTTCACCCAACAACACCTAACAATATCCTCAACAAATCGAGCTCCATAAATCCCCCGTAATACAAGCTAACACTGAGCTGACTGACAGCACAATTCTCAACGGGGCAAGCTACGGCAAACCTGAATTGCTAGGCGCCTACAATTATCAAAGTTGCCCTACGCTAGAGGCGTAGCGGAACTACTCCACGCAAATCGGATTTCCAACGACTCAGAGAAACAGTATGATCCTCCTTGACTTACTGATTTGCGTAATATCCTTGTTCAGTTTTCTTCAGCCAGTGACACTAGCGCAAATGGCTCAGAGTAGCAGCAGAGTCGTAACTCGGGTTTGCGAGCCTAAATTATTTGGCTACTTATTTCCGTAAGTAGCATATTTTTAAGGTGGAACACAGAAGACGACATTTAATAGCAATTAGCAACGAATAAATCTCTGGAAGTTTCGGAGTCCAACAATAGTCAGGACGTGAGCAAATCCCTTCGCAAGCCTTTATAGGCCTCAGCACTTTCGCCGGGCTAACAGTACTCCAGCCAATAAAAATGAAGTCAGAATGGTTCCTAATGAGCTGATTTTAGTTGCACAGTTAGTGGTACTCATGGCAATAGTAACGATGAGTATTCGTTGGGGGAAAATGTGCTGTACCGATAGTTTCAAGCCGTCAGCTACCCATTTCCGGTGATTATCATGCGTAACAGTAACTCCAGACTATTGGACACATAAATACAAGCTACACAGATTCTTATTACCCTGGTAAAAACCCTGATGCCTACTAAATACTGGTCTTCTGGTCCCAGCTTCCGGTTTTTTCAAATCCGCACGTTCAGCATTACCATTTCACTGTGCTGAGACCACCGAGCCCTTACCAAGAGCGAAAACTCCACACAACTTTACCAAGATTATATCCTGTGAGTGAAGTCTATGTATGCTGAAAAACCAAGAAGCACTATACTGCTGTTTGGTTCTAATTTGGAGTTCCGTAGTTGGACGATAAGTCTCATCATATCACGCCTGAGGGTGAGCCAATCGTCCTGCTTCTTGTAGCCGAGCGGTCTTGTTCTCAAGCACCAGCCGGAAAGCCGCTGATTTCTAAACTACATGCGGTTTTGTGAGATGTACTTCTCCAGTAGGCATGAAGCACTTGTATACTGGTTCTCCGATTTTTTCGTAAATTGGCCTGACTTACAGGATGAAATCTTAATCAGAAATTACAAATTCTCCTCAACCTATCAATGATCCTGAGTGGACCAACTATGACCTGCTTCTCATACTATGCTGAACGCTTGCTTATCACAATTTAAATCTCACGCGGACTCAAATTCACCCGAAAATTCTCACCGAAATCGCACCTAATAACCCAGGGGCATTTGGCTTTGGAAATCAGTGAACGGACTGGAAGCTATTGGATAAATTTCCTTCCAAGCATTTTAGAGGTTCTAGCAAACGATTTTCTCTTAGGCGAGTGAGGCACTGGAACACACAGTACATTCCCATTCAACCAATCAAAATATTAGCTGCTACGGTTTCCATTTAGCGTCAAGCACATTAACCGGTATGGTTGATCGCAATTCACTATTCGAAAAAAACACTTGGTGGAGCTAATTCGTCCTTCCTTACTTCTAAGGATTGAGGCTTTCAACAGGAAAAGCAAAACGCTCGGTCGGAAAAGTAGTTATCAGCGCCGTGGCGGGAAGTGGACGTGCAGTTTGTTTATATACTATTAAACGGAGGATATTTTGGATGAAAAAGATGACCGTGGTTCCTGGACTGGACAATCATCATCTAGATTTTATTTTGTGACAGACGGGAACGAAAGTCTGGAACTTAATTAAATTTCTCTTGGGTCACAAAACGTAGTGTTCTTTATCTGGTAATATCGGTCAACTAAATCATTCGTACGTTGCCAAACAGTAAATTTAGTGGTTTGAATGCATTTACTCGACCAGGGTGTATGAAAACATGTCACCGCAGTACCTATCAGTGGCGAACTTAAAAATCTCTTCGCTACTGGGGCTAATGTATCTGAGCCTCTCTCGGTTAGAAGCACCGCACCATCGAAATTCCTTGTCCTTAAGGAGTCCTTCAGAGGCCGTGTTGTCGGGCGACGGAGAACCTGCCAAGTAACACTAATTCTCCTGGTTGCCCCACAAAACACCCTGTATCATGCACTTGGCTCTTACTCAAATTGTTAGAGGCTACTGCTCACTGCCGTTAAACCCCCTGCTGATCGCCTGTGAGAATGATTCTTAGTTTGCTTACGAACCCGAAATACCAAACAAGGACGCTCTTGGTAATGTGGTGAAATATTGGTAGCTCGGGTGAGTTTATTGGCTGTTGATCTGTTCGCCGAGCTTGGCAAATGGCTTGCAAACGTTTCGTCACCATACGAGGAGGCATCATCAGTGCGCATGCAAGCTCTGATATCACTAAGTCAAAGATAATCGAACAGAACGTCACTCTAGTCAGACCCCAGCGATCTAACTTTGACTTGATCATAAGTTCACCTGGATCGTGTGACCTCTCACAGTAGTGTCCACTAAACTATCCCCAGTCATCATCACTAAAAGTAAACCAACACAAGGTACTTGGCAAAAAAGACAATTGGCAAAATAGTTGCTATAGGAACAAACAAAGTCGGATGAAAATGTGCCTGCAGTTCATTGTAAAAATTAGAAGAAAGGCTGAAGGATCACAGGCATCAAGGTGGGGTTGCATGATCTAGAGCATCCGGGACGTGGCAACTAAGCGGGGCAATTATCATCTGTAAAAAGAAAGATATGGACATCGATTTTCGATTGCCATAAAATGCAACATATACCCAACGTTCTATCTGTAAGACAATGGCGATTCTGATATCAGATGCAAACAGAGAAAAGACACTATATTCGGTATACATTGAGGCCGCCTTAAATGATCGGCGTTTTTCGGATCAGAAAAAAAAACAAGTTCGGAGAAAATATGAATGTACTTACTGTGACATACATTTGCGTAGTATAAGCAACCTCCCATCGACGAGTATAGATGGAAGCTACTAGCTCATTATCAAGTTGTGCAACTCAATAGTCGATACAAAATTATTAAGAGACATCAGACGACCAAGGATCCCAACACGCAAAAAACCTTAGGTTGGAAAAGTTCGATAACTTCTTCAAACAAACTGGAACAACCCTTTATACGAGCGAAATGAATCAGACTTACTGGGACGGCAATATTTCATAGGTCCTTCTGTGAGATTCATCAACTTCAGTTAGGAAATAGGAACCCGGGAATAAACCGCCTGGGTTGTGTGGCGGCTTGAAAGGGGCTGTGAAGAACATAAACGAGGTTGTTAAACGTACTGTTAGAAGCCACACAAATGTATCTGGTGCAGAAGTAGTAGTATCCGGTCAGTAGTAATAAAGCACATCAAATGCACGGAAACATGTAACAGAAAAATCGACGCTTTCCCGATTGAATGGACGACTGGTATCGACAAAGGGAAGCAATCAAACAGCTGGACGCCGGCATAAAGTTGGATAGACACGAACAACGTGCACGTAGTATGATATGAAGTTACCTACAGGTACCTGATGCTGGTATAAGTCCAAGCAAGTAATAGTGGTGGGCGGACACACAGTGGCCTGATGCGAGATATCAGGAGGCCTAAACAGAATCATCATCATCAGAGGTAGTAGTAATACCAGTGTGACACTGCCCACAACCATAAAGTTTACCTAGTTGTGTTTGAAACAGAAGATTCGCAGCGCTCAACCGTGTGCTTACTTAAAGCACTTTTCAAGCAGAGAGATGGGTCTAACCAAATCACCATCACCACAATGCGAGCTAAAACTGTTCATCACAAAGATTATACCTGATTGTTCCGGGCAAGTAAATATTAGTGGCCAACAAGCTGTCCTGGATAATGAACCAGGATCAACGGTTGGGACTACTTTCTTATAGTCCCCAGTGGAAACCTAGAATGAACGACAACAGCAATCCAATGAGATGGTTTCGCTGCACCAGCAGTAACACTAAGAGTAACAATATGAACTCAAGCACTAGGTCAAATATATATATATATATATATATAATGTATGAACGGCAGAAGTGCGCTTGACTGAAGGGGACCATTATTCATCCAGCTTCGGTCCAAAATAGACCGTTCCTAGTCGGTTCCTCAAAGTATCCTACAGGTAGGACTGCCTTTCCGAATAAGCTACATTTTCTTGCCCACTACACATGGTCTCTCTTAGTGGAGAAAATTTCACTGGACCGTTGAATTCAGGTTTAAAAGCCGAGAAATAAAACAATCGAAATACAAGGTCAGTTGCAAAGATGAATCCAGGTATACGCAAGGAGCACACCTGCATTGTGTGATGAACGTCGTTCATTCAATATTTTTTCGAATTCGGAGACCTGTAAACGAGTTCTTTGATTGAAAAGTCGGTTAAAAACGGAATTTTGCTTTCTGTCTGGAGATGCAGTAGAGCCAACCACATTGACAAGGGGACGTGATGGATGCACAGTCAGACTGAACATGGCAGCGGCCAAACCGGATCCGTAGGAATACATTAATATCCTGCGGTTACGTAACTCCAGATCTGGGACACTATGAAAGTGAAAAATACGGGAGAACCGTTGATAAGCACTTGAGTTTTCTAAAATAACTAGAAAACTACACACAACCACCACTAAATAGTGGAACCGGTTAGCTAGCCTGAGCCACTGAATGTCTTCTGAAGACCCTGTGCAATTCAGTTACGAAGCGATAACATGGGAAACATGCAGGGCAGTTTACGAAACAAAACACCAGTGATCCAATGAGGAGAACAAATATCTAAACGACGTGTGTAGTTCGTTCAGGTAAAGTCCTATGCACACTCCGGTGAACTTCCAGCATGGACGTATCACAGGTAGATGATGAAGCAACTCGATGTACGCTGAAATTCGCATGAAATGCCCACCGAAGTAGGCCAGACACGATGCTATCAAGCAGGACAGTGAGGTTAACTAGAGAAGAATGAGCCACAGTAGGACAACAGAATCCCGGCGGAAAAGAGCTTATACGTAGACCAGAAGCATCATGTCGGCGTGATTTAAGCAAGAAAGAGTGAAAAACGTCGGGTAGAATTCGTTCAATGAAATTAGAATTCAACCAACGCAGCCCAAGGCATGCCGTTTCACGTAGAAAGATGTCGATGTGACCTGAAAAATCAGGCAAAATCAGGTCTTTCCCATGAAGCCCTGGGAAAAGGACAAGGGAACAATAAATCCAGTAAGGCAAAGTACAAGCGTTAAAAAACAACGAAAAAGACTGCGGGAACATCTACGGCGTGACGGCATAAAAAGCCAGATGTCAAGCTTTGTTGAGGAGCACGTTACACTTCCCCGAACGTAGTACACCGGTTTATACGGAAGGTTTTTAGTATTGAGGTGGTCAGAAGTCCACGTGCCGATGACCCAAAATTAACGTGGCAAATCTAATGGAGATTCTTTAAAAGAGATTTTGTCCTGTAAGTGAAGCTAGTCTATTCTGCAAGTCGAGGAACACTCAACAGCTATTTCAACCCTTCGGGTAATCATCAGTGGTACGCGCTTCAGAAACTTCAAGGAGTTTTGGACACGCGCCCTTCTGACTAGTAGTTGGAACACTTAACCGTTCGGCAACAAGTGGCTGAACAAGCTGATCAACCCGCACTTAGAAGGTATATAGTGCACTGTGATCAACCCGCACTTAGAAGGTATATAGTGCCACTCAGTATTCAACCACGGGAACCGCATCAGGTTACCAAGACGAAACCCAGCTCCACTCTCAATCGATCGAAATACGCAAAATAATGTCTGGTGGAAAATCAGTCAAGCAACTGGTGACCCAGTAGATGAAGCGGTATTCTCGGGCATTCGTCCGTTTGAGGTGTCCTTTCATTAGGTTCTAATGAAATCCTTCATCCCGATGCTAATTATGAATCATGTTTGGCCCGCTTTTAATAGAGTTAAGGTATTCCTAGTTGAACCATCCATTTTCTTCACCTTAATTGACCTCATCTTGATTTCAACTAATTCAGAAGCCTGGTTTTTACTGCAAGTCGTTAATTGACTTTAATCACCAATCACGAGCACTACGGATGGTGTACAGCGAATGAATCAGGTGGTGCGCTCCAGATGAATAAACCTTAAAGAAATAGAGTAGCACAAATATGCAGTCACTCGTGTAGAAGCGAATGAGACTGTGCATCCATGTGTCTCGAAAAGACCCTCAGTGTGGACACCGATTACAAAGTTGTGCAATGGTCAGAATGAATAGTCTTGCGCTCTACCGAAAACGAAGACACAACTGATTATCTTTTTGGAAACAGGTAACGTTCATAAAAGTAAAAGCAGAGGGAACCCAGATTACTGAACTGCGTTGGTGACGGTTAACATGCTGCGTTTTCCTCTATGAGGATCTACAAAACGTGGTCAGACTATCTTTCTCTGAAGTGGGTTATCAATGGACTAGCTTCGGTGGAACCATCTGTAGAGTTGAAGAGGGCGATTTTATGCGGGATTATCTGATGGAGGGAGCTGACACACTATATTTCCATGAACTGACTTGTGCTTAACACAAGAGGCGGATTCAACTTTCCTCGACAAATGCAGTTAGTCTTTCTCTGTGGACAGATTTATCACACTTGAGTCTGCCTTACTATGGTCTTTTTGTTGCTAACGATTTTCACATGTCTCGCCACTGAGTTGTTTGTGCAATGGAATTTTGCAGTGAGATTAAATAGGCCCAGCATTCCAAGTGCGGTCTTGTCTAGTTAGCCACAAACTTGACAAAAGGTGTGCACAATAGGTGGCAATATCCGAAGATGTGACAAAGTTATGGACAATACAAAAACGTCGTACGATTACAGACGTGTGAGTAGACGGACGGCGGACTTGCAGCTCGCCAACATTCCACCAGCGAAAAAAACAAGATGCTCATAAGATGTGAAAATATGGGCCCATTTCGTAGAGACAACATTCTTATAAAAAAAAACAGACCACCGACATATGTACCATACCAAGACGTTCGTCCGGATGTTCATCACACGCACTCCGTCTGGTGAAAACCCAGTAAAGGCTTTTGTTCCCAGTTAGACCGAACACATAGGCAGTCCAGTTTAAGCGCCCTAGTTTCAAATTTTATCCATCGTTCAGATTATTTCTACACAACCGGTTCTTCGGGACAGAAGCGTGCCTGGCAGATGCCCAAGTGAACTGCGCAACGGTAGACGTTCAACATTCGTGCATCTTCGTTCTGCGTAAATCTTTAATTTAACTTTCGTTTCTCGACTTAGTAAATTCTCTCACACGTGCTGCTAATGCGGAGTCCTAAATGGTTCATGTTTGGGATCAAATAACCAAGCCTACTACTGTGTAGTGTAAAGTTCTGTCGAAGTAGCAGCTGAATGAAACGGACACGGGGTTTGCTAAAAAGTCTCAAAAAGAATGGATACTACCAGTCGTGATTAATTATCGTCCAACGGAAAGGTAACAAAGAAGGATGATCGGCAATTAGACAGTTATATGTGAGAATGAATGGAAAAGGGTACAATGTGTCAGACACACACCACCGGTAACGTACAGAAAGCGTAGAACATTCCTCGCTAACACCACTATGGATTCTACAGACACTGTTTATAATGGTACCGTCACCACAATTTAACTTTCTCGAATCGGGACATATCACCGCTGGACTCATGGACGAAACACAAAACCGGTACTAAAAAGAACCAACAAAATTACTAATTTCAACCCCGCTATTCTTCACTAGGGATTACTCGGAAAACGGAGGCAGCTGATATCTGCTTACGACCGGCATGGGAGGGTGTTCGGACGCCGTATTTTGCCTTACTGAGGGTGCTTACGAAAAACACTGATGACAATACCACAGGTTACGCGACTTAGATGTGTCGTGGTAAACCATGGGGCACGCCTGCAAGAGTAGAACCCGTCAAAGGTTCATCTTGCTAATCCTAACCAGAGAATAATCGTAACATAACTGTGCTATGACGCTCGGTTGAATCACTACTGCCGAGTTTATGTTAGAAAAGTCCAGACTACTAACTCGTAAAGCAATTTTCAAAGACACCTAACCAGAGTCGTAACATAACTGTGCTATGACGCTCGGTTGAATCACTACTGCCGAGTTTATGTTAGAAAAGTCCAGACTACTAACTCGACTCGTAATTTTCAAAGACA